CACACACACAGATATACGCATACACACGTACACACGCTCACGCACGCACGCGCACACACGTAGAAGCACACATCAGTAGCCTATTAGCCTTATTCGCGCCCGTTGTTTTTTATCGAGACGAAAAATATCGTGTGAGTCACGCACGCTAATATTTTTACGTGGTGAATAAACCGGTAAAATTGGCTTCTTCACAACACAACTCCAATCCGCAAAAAAACCGAAAAGCAATCTGATTTCAGTAGCCACAGATCATATAGATTTTACCGCATTTGCCGCATTTTATTTCATTTACCGCAGGAAATAGCTCATGGTCAACACATCAGAACACAACACAAAACAACACAACACAACACAACACAACACAACACAACACAAAACAACACAACACAACACAAAACAACGCAACACCCCTGAACGATAATCAGCAATTCTAGATCAATGCCAAGCTGGAACATGCATGTCAATTCACTCATGGAATAGATAGTTGCTGACACTGGTTGCCCTATATATCAGATGTTAATTCTAGATCGCCAACAGGAATTGCTGCATAGCAGCTGGCAGCGTACCCTATATTCTATTCTATTAGTATAACATTATATTAGTTATATATATCAGTAGTAAACAATCAAGCTGGATGAATGTCAATTTCAGTTACGTGTAAATAATATTACCTGTCTGTCCAACTGACAATTATTTGCCCCTAATTTGTATGTGTGCGTATAGGTATTCGTGTGTGCGCGCGCGTGCGTGCCTGCTTGCGCGCGCGCGTGTGTGTGTGTGTGTCTGGTGTATACATGATATTATTTTATATTACAATTGTGTATTTCTGAATCTTTAATGGTTATCTGTTATTTATTTTATATACGCATGTGGCTTGCAGATGTTTTTATCTATTATTTATTATGGTAATGCGCATTCTTTGTATTATTCAATCTCCATTATACAGTTTTGTTGATTTTTATTTATTCGTCGTCATGGTAACACGTATAGTGCACTGTATATGTTTTCATTCTGTTGTTGTGAAGTCTGATGATATTTGTATTGTATTAATATTTTTATTTATTAGTCAAAATGACAACGTGCATATTATTTCGTCATTAAACTGTTCCCATTCTGTTTTCATGAAGGCTGAGGAAGAGACATCGTCTCGAAAGCTCGCAAAAAAGTGACACCTCATTCGATTTTTATATATTCATATATTTTAACACGCACGCACGCACGCACGCACGCACACGCACACACATATATATTATTAGCTTGTTATTGATTGCTTTCATACGATTAACGGTACTATCCATCCTCTCTCATCCTCTATCCTCCTGAGGATCTTAGCCGCCGCCTACTGATACTGCTAGAATGCCATATAGTCACATACTTCTGCGTGAGAAGCTACAGAGAAGTAAGTAAGAGAATTAGGCCAGCTTTAAAGTTGCCTCAACACAAGCACGACAAAAACAGAATCGTACAGAATCGTATTAACTATTCTAGAGCTGAATATTTTTGGGCAAATTTTGAACCTGCGCTAAACGTCAAATAAAAAAGACGTGTTCCTTGTATAAGTATTCCCGGGCACTGCCTTGGATCACACGTTTCAAACTGCCATGCAATTTAGACTGCTTCCTAGTTGGTTTATTTCTACTTAACCCAGGAATATAAGTCTACCACAACACAACACAACGCAGCACAACACAACGCAACTCAACACAACGCAACGCAACGCAACACAACGCAACGCAACACAACGTAACGCAACGCAACACAACACAAAACAACACAACACAACGCAACAGAACACAACACAACACAACGCACCACGGCACGACACGGCAAAACGCACAGAAACTCTCTTCAATGCGATTTCTCGAGGCGATGTAGACGCAGCAGCAGCAGCAGCAGCAGCAGCAGCTATATATCGCATTTCGCAATCGTGAAAAAGTTGAAATAATTCGCATTTCACTCGATAATAAACTCGACGCATAAATTGCGCATTTCACTCGATGCGCAGCGGCTGCAAGCAAGGCGCAATCACGATCTCATGACTCACACATAGCAGCGCTAGTATAGTGACTCTTCCTTAATCCGCCTACACACGCCGCGCGCGCGCAAACACACATGCAAGCCGACAGAAAATGCCCCACGAGCCCTTCCCCTCCTCCTTCCCACCTTTTTTAAATTTTTTTTTTATTCAACTTCCAACGTATTCAACTTTATTCTTCTCGTTTCAATTTATTACTTTTATTCAACTTATTTCAACTTCTCTTACTGCAAGTTCTAAAGCTAAAGTCACACNCCCCGAATGCCCCGCCCCCCCAGGTTTGCTCTCATTTCCATCTAATTAGCTGCGGAACATCAAAAGAATATTATTGTCGCGTGAATGACATGCGGTGACGACAAAAGATGACGATAAACAGGAGGCGATCGTAATGCGACTTAATTTCCGCACACGCACGCACGCTCGCACGCACGCTCGCAGGCACACACACACGCTCGCAGGCACACACACACACACACACACACGCACGCACGCACGCTCGCAGGCACACACACACACGCACGTTCGTACAAACGCCCCGAGCTTTCATATTCGCTATATATATATATGGCACCAGTTGTTCGATTAGCGAAAGTAAACATCGTTCACAACATCGTCCGTCGTAAAACCGAACGCGCGTTCTGATCCAGGATCATAGAGCACGCGATCTCGATGAAAGCACGCGTATCCATGTCGCGATATCAGCGATATATGTATCTAGCTCCCTATACGCAGGACTATACCAGCATAATGTCAGATGGTTATCACTGCTGCTGCTGCTGCAGTGTCGCACGTCGTCGGAAGGTTAAGCCTAGCGCATGCGCGTCTAGATGTGCGTGTATGCGACGACTAGATGCCGCCCTCACGCGCGCAGCATTCGTAAACACCGGAATTACGTCGCTAAAGAAACTAGTTGCGTAAACGACAGTAAAATGCTCGTCTCCGATTTCTAAATTAGTTCCAATGGATTTCGCCGTTCGTGCCCGCGCGCGTAGATGGCGCACTGTCATCGTTGTGTTTGTGTGTGTGTGTGTGTGTGTGTGTGTGTGTGTGTTGTGTGTGTGTGTGTGTGTGTGTGTGTGTGTGTGTGTGTGTGT